TGGTCCCTGCCAACAAAGGAGCCCTGCCTCTTGGGAGCACCCAGTGGGCCTACCCAAATGGCAAGTGAGCAGAAGCTTCCACCAGTGCTATCTCCACTGGCAGCATCCTGTAGAACAGCTCCTGAAACAGAGCATTCAGATCTGACCTGCCTGGAGCAGGATCTGCAGGATCTGCTGGATCCAGAACCAGATCTGTTGCCATCGTGCAATGGCAGTAGGCTGGATCCAGGTCTCTTCACTGCCCAAGCCCAGCAACTAGAGTAACAAAGAGGCTTTTCCCCTCCCCCCGGTCCCCACCTTCCACCCTGAGCAGTGTGAGTGGCAGAACTGCGGATGCAGCAATGGCAACACTGCTCCATTAATACCTGCCACTGCCAGCCATGGGGTTTAGATTCTGCTCTAAGTGTATGTACTTGAGTTTTATGATTTCAGCAAAGACAATTACTTGGCCAAGAGAAAAATAGAGCAGAAAATATGTCATAAATGTTTTGTGAGGCAGCACTGTGAACAAGCATGTCTCTGTGCTGCACGATCAATCTGCTGATTCTTTTAAAAAGTTACAAGAGCAGGCCATAAATCAGAGGTACAATTTATTTGCAGCTTTATAGAGACATCCTGAGTCACAGAGTCTTAAATGACTTTGTCTTGACCTTGTGTGCATTTTTGTTTTAAGAAAAGATAAGAGTGTTACATTCCCAATTTTATATTAAACGGTAAAATAGGAATGCTCCTTTTTATTTCTGTTGTTGTTATTACAGTGGTACCCTGGGTTACATATGTTTCAGGTTACAAACGCTTCAGGTTACAGACTCCGCTAACCCAGAAATATTACCTCGGGTTAAGAACTTTGCTTCAGGATGAGAACAGAAATCGTGCTCCAGCGGCGCAGCAGCAGCAGGAGACCCCATTAGCTAATGTGGTGCTTCAGGTTAAGAACAGTTTCAGGTTAAGAACAGACCTCCAGAACGAATAAAGTTCTGAACCTGAGGTACCACTGTACTTGGTTGCTTTCCTGAAAACCCAAGGATGTTTGGGTAATTTTGTTAAATGTCAGAAAAATAAGACAGCCAAATGAAAAATCTTATCTATCATCTATCTATCATCTATCTATCATCTATCTATCCATCTAACATTCCACACACAGAAAGCTTCGTGTCTATACATGGGCGTAGCCAGGATTTATTTGGGGGTGAGAGACTTTATGTTGCAGGGGCAGAACCGAGTTATCTGCAAAGCAATTGGTTCAGTTAGTTATGTATTTTTATTTATTTATTTATTTGATGGGGGGGGAGTTGCCCCTCCCTGCACCCACCTGGCTATGACCATGGTATATAATCTGAACACAAACTTCAAACAAAAGACAAAAATACAGGGCCAAATCCATGCTTATTACTCTACCCCCATCTGTCCCTATTTTTTCTCTTTTTCTTACATGGTAGATGAACAATTGGTGTAAAAGTACAGCTGCTGACAGGGCACGTACCTGATAAATATTGCTTGTCTACCTTCAATGAATCAATAAGGTCAAGATGTGCCCAGCCAAGCAGAGGTTTTGCTGGTGGAATGATTTTGCTTTACTTAAAAAAGAGAGAAAAACCCTTACTATAAAAAATAGTAATACATGAAATGAGTGATTATGACTTAGTCCTTCCCCATTTTTTTTACAGAGTCATCTATATTCTCTCTCCCTCCCTCTCTCTCTCTCTCTCTTATTGAACTACAATTTAATATATTATTGGTATTTTGTATTTTAAAAATATTCAATACCTTATCATAGTCTTATCCTTGTACTGTACCTTGTACCTTGGATGATTTGGTCCAGAAAGGTGGCTTATAAATATTTAAATAAGTAATATAATATAATGGTCTGAAAAGAGGTTTAAATAATCTTCTCCACAGTTCTTGGGTGTTTTGAGTTAATTGTGAGAGAAAAGGTGTACTAAAAAAAAAGAGGGGAAAAAAGAGGGAGGACTTGGAAACAGAACAAAAAGCTCATTTGCCTACTTAGAATGGTTAAATATATTGTATTGCACTTGTGGTTAGGAAGGCTCCCCATGAATGGTGTGCATGTGTGTCAACCTGGGAGTGTGGTGGAGGGGGAGGCAGGGGAAGAAAGTTTTGGTTGCACAGCTGAGAAAAACACAGAAATTACTAGCCAGAGAGATTTGTAACTACATGTCAAATGAGTAGTAGAGGCATATGACAGACAAGAGACATGACAGAAGAGAATGAGTTTGGCGCTTTTGAGAACATGCATCAGGAGATGTTAGAAGTCTGCATAGTGGTGGGATGGGTGGATTCTAAATTCAACAATTCACTGATTTAATAGTGGAGGCTGAGAACTATATGTACCAGAATTTACCAGCTAAGGTAATAGCTACAGATCTCTTTTGTTGTTATTGTTGTGGTTTAGTCATTTAGTCATGTCCGACTCTTCATGACCCCATGGACCAGAGCACACCAGGCACTCCTGTCTTCCATTGCCTCCCGCAGATCTCTAATATATTTATATTTCCTGATGCAATATTGAAGGACTGTTACATAGGACAGGACCTATGGATTCTTAAGGATAGCCAAAAATCATCAAATAACCGACCCACTGAAAACAGGGCTAGATCTAGACACATCAAAGAAGCGTTTCAATTAATGCGTTGTAAATTTAAACAGGGAAAATGGGTAGAGAAAAACAACGGTCCACAGCGCTATCTGGTGACACAATGTTATTTCGCATATACAACACATATAAATCGCTTTTTCTTTACCAATCTAGCTGAGTCCCAGGTGTGCTATAAAAAAAGATTTACTTAAATTAAAGGTGATGCTATTAACATTTGTTCCTGTAGCCCATCAAACTGCAATGAGTCCTTTCTGGCCTTCCTGAACTTACAATTTAGCACAAAAAAGGGCTGTAAACTCTGCTGCGGTTTCTTATGTTATGCAAGTTAATGCTGGCCATTAAAATCTGTCCTAGGATGACTTGCCTTAATAGTTTTGCTGTGGATTTCCTTCAAGAATACTGTAAGAAAAATGTTTCATACATTGCTCCCTTGTACTTGTCACAAGGTATTTAGAAATTTGCTCAGGCATTTTTATGATGCTATATGACCACTAAATTCTTAAGTACCTTTATACTGGGGGCAGGGAGAAGTTAAGCTTTTGCTCAAACAGCAACTTTTTATTATTATTTCACCGCTAAAATGCCTTTTATCTCCTGGGAAAACTTTGACACTCTGTGCTGTGTTAGCATTTTGCTGGCATAAATGTTTCAGTATTTACATCCCATAAACAAACAAAAATAGAAAGAAAAAGCACATTGATCAGAGGTGGCCCTTTCTTCTCTCTCTTTTCGTAGTAGGCAATCTCTAGCAAAATTCAAACCAGTATTTTATTATTTTTAAAAAAAACACCTTTATCAATCACCTAAACGTTATTAGGAAGGCATGTACTGGGAGAACAAAGCAAATGGGAGAGAAATCGATATAGTTTTAATATTATGCAGAGTTGTCACTTTTTTTGGATGATGCATTTAAATGAATTCCATATTTATGACTGCACTTGGGTATATTTAATAACTTATCTGATATAACGCATCACAAATTGTGCTATAAAATAAAGAGCCAAGTGAGTAAATACTGCCAGGAAGACTCTCAGTGCTATTCTATCAATGTTTACTCAAAAAAATGTCCCACTGTGTTCAATGAGGGTTCTTTCCAGGTAAGTGTCAGGTTGCAGCCTAAAGCTAATCATGAAGGAATTTCCAGAGGGAGGACGTTGCTTTCCCCCCTTGTTATCATAGGATTTTTAAAGTTTGAGGATCCTATGATTTTGTGAACGAACATGCTAAAAATAGCTCTAGTTGTTCTTTGCATGACTTTTTATCCAGTTCCAATTTTAAGGATTAAATTCAGAATTGAATTTGTCACCACACTTAGATGAAACCAAATCAAAATCAGGAACACAATTAATTTTTCTCTGGGAAAGTTGTCCTAAATAAAAAGATACTTCTGATTCATGTGCAAAGCCTTGAGTGGAAATAACACATGCAGGAAAATAATGGTATGAGTAGAGGTGTGTTTTAAAAATGGAACTTCTACCCTATGCATAAATCAGGTAATAATAAAGTAAAATAGCATGGACTTATAAATGAAATTCAAGTCTTAGGCACACATTTGATTCAATGCTTCGAAGGTGATCAGAACCAGGCCAGGTTGCTCCACTGGTTGCTGATACCAGATGGAAACAGGTGTGCTTTAGATGGTCGGCAGTCCACAGGGCATTTGTGGAGCCCAGCACTTTCATCTGATATCTTTCTGGTGTAAGGTGAATTCCGTTTTATTCATCCAGGTCTTTCAGGTGTTTTAATTTGTGTAGATATGTGGATTCAAAGTCCTGGTTAGGACCTTACAGTTTAGGCCTAAGTTACCCGAAAGCCTATCTGCACACGTATCCACCTACCTGTAGCCTGAGATCAACACCAGAAAGCTTGCTCAGATGCCCACCTGTTAAGACTATTAGGTGGGTCACCACCTGTACTAGAGCCTTCTAAGTGGTGGCCCTGCAGTTGTGGAACTCTTTCTTTTTGGGAGTGTGACAGGTGTCACCCCTAACAATGCTTTGAAGAGCCATCTCTTATCAGTTGCTTTTGGTGAGTAATATATATTGGAGATTTTATGCTGTGGGCCCTTGAATTTTAATATTACTTTGCTGATTTATTCATTAGATTAGTTAACTGATCCTTTTTTCTTATATTGTTTTTTGTACTGCAATAACTGCAAAAAAAATATTCCAATATACTGGAAGTCAATTTGTGGAGAAGATTTCTCAAAATCTTATTAAATATGAATAAATATTTGTTAAATAAATGTTCATAATTGATTGGGGAATTTTTTAATAGTCCGTTTCTGTTATTTGATCACATCAAAAAATTAGAGGATAAGACAGCAGAATAGTTTAAGAAAGCTACTTTGACTATTAATTGACAACTCTTTTTCTTTTTCCAGAAAAAAATACTTCTATGTTTTTCTGCAAAGACAGGCTTTTGGAGACCAAAAATATTTCTGGATCTCATCTTTATCACTCAGTTCGCCAGACATCCTTAACCCCATAGTTCTGTGAACAAGATCAAGGAATATACTTAAATAATTTGCTTCCAGTTAATCCTGTTGGATGCGTTACTTTCATTTGGACACAACTCTCTGGCTTCTGTTCAGCTACTTAAGATTAGTTTCAAGAGTAACAGTGAGAATATGGGACAACAAGAAGAAAAACCCCTAAAGGAAAAGTCTCAGTTTATTATTAAAGGATATGTTCTTCCAGCAAAACTATGCATCAGGGAGGCAAATGCCCTAAACTGCTATTATGCTTGTTATTTATATTCTATGCAAAGACAAAATATCTGGGATCAGATATTTAAGTTGTAAGTTTACTATTTAAGTCATAAAATAATATTTTAATAGAGTAAAAGAGTAATAAAAAAAACCCTAACACCAGGAATTGCTAACGAAAATATACATGGCAAGTCCATATAAAATGAAGAGTTAGGTTTTCACCTAATAACAATAGAATCTGTGGCCTCAAGCCAAATGTTGCTCAAATGACCAAATGAAATGGGTCGCAAAGAAACACATTATCTGCCTACACTAAATTGCGACTCAATGGCTCAGCAAGGCATCAAAGTGCGCCCTGTGCTGCTGAAGCGGAACAGTCTGGATTCAGTGGATTTTCGGAGGCAGCCCCACCATCGCAGGAGCAAATCTCAACAAGTCCGATTCAAAGATGATGGAACAGACAACCCACCTGTGGCAGAATCGGAACTGGAGACAGGAGCTGCTCAAGACCTGTGTGAACTGGGTAAAACACAAACGTCCCTAGTCAGTGGTTCCCCCTTTCTAACTCCCTCTCACAAAGGATTACAAAACATTGCCATACAGACTTCTCCCAGCCTCAGGAAGCACTTTCCGGTATTTAAAAAGAAAAAAATCACAACAAGCAAGTCCTTAACAGAAATGCCGAATGAATCTGAATATTCCATTCAAGTCAATGGCAATCTTTCTGAGCAGGACATAATCTCGTCCGGTCTCTCTTACCTAAGTATCACGCAGCATTTAGATGATGGACCAAGAGCGGCCAATCGGCTGTTTCAGAGGGTGCCTAAAGCACAAAGCAACGGGCCTGTCCATTTGGTTTCGGATAAAATTACAATAGTGGAAAAGGCAACTGTTTCTACCCAGGCCCCTGAATACACACACCTGGGTTCTGCACAAGATAATTTTTCCATTTATGGCCCGCACACACAAATGGAAATCAGCAGCCCAGTTCATTCTTCTACAGCTGTCAGACAATCCAATGAGAACTGTTCCGTGCACAAGGGCTCAGAGAAATCTCTCCCCTGCTTAAATAGTAACTGGAATGAAGCCAGTGCGGATCATAGTTCCTATGAAGAAAAAAACTATACTGAGCTACTCGCATTTAAGGATGACACTAGCACTAAGGAAACCATTCTGTCATCGCCTCAGCTACACCACAGTTCATTATGCTGCTCCCTCCAAGAACATCAGCAGCCAATTCAGCAGAAAACAGACTCTGACCATAAGACATTGACTAATGATATACAAACAACATCATTCACTAACAACAATGCATCACCGTCTGTTCCCTCATGTCAAACTGTAACAGAGAACGTTTCTACCAATACCGAAGTGCCACAGTATGACAACTGCTTAGAAGGCTTTCACATAAATGCCTATCTTCCAGGGGCTGAAATAAAACCACACAACAAAGAGATTAAAGAAATTAATCAAATTCACTTGGCGCACAGCGAGCTGTGTGCCCTGCAAGACAGGCTCCAGTCCGTTGAGGAATCTCTGCAGTCGAACCAGGAGAAGATTAAAGTCCTTTTGAATGTAATTCAAGATATGGAAAAGGCCAGAGCCCTCAATGAAGGGTACGGTGTGTTTTGGTATTTAACACTACTTTGTTTATTAACACTATCTATCTATCATCTATCTATCTATCTATCATCTATCTATCTATCATCTATCTATACTGTCCTCTGTTTCTCTCTGCTAACAACACTATCCCCTAAACCAAATCTTCCTCTTATTCATTCAGGGTTATATAACCATAAGGAAACTGGATTTTCAGCTTGAACTTTACAACCATTCCTAGTCCAGGCTTCCCAATCCTTCAGATGTTGTTGGACTTCACCTCCCAACATCTGTAACTACTGGCCATGCTGGCTGGGGCTGGTGGGAGTTGGAGCCCAAAACATCTGAAGGGCAGGGCACCAGGTTGGGGAAGGCTGCTCTAACTTTTTTGCTTGTGATATATTTTTTAAAGCTGCTTAACTGTTTAAGCTGTAAGAAGCAAAACTGCATCTGCTTTCCAGTGTTCTAGCAAATTAGCACAAAGGCACTGTGATGACTTACAAGCACAAGTAACTTATTTTCAATTTTTATAAAAATCAAAAAATATATTAGTGTGCAATACAAATAAAACAACCTTAAACATATTAAACCACTGGAATATACCTTCTGGCTGTTCTGTATTGATCTTCTCCTTACAGTGTATTCAGGCACCCTCAGCTCAAAATGTCTGGCTACAGGCCTATTTCTATAATGTGCAGCATTGAAAAAGCAGTGCCTAAAGCTAGTTCTAGTACTGAGCTTGCCGTTTCCCATGTTATCATCCAAGACATACCACAATCCTTTTTTTTATGAGTGGGGAACCAGTAGCCCTCCAGCCACTGCTGAACTACAACTCCAGTTGTCCCTATGACCACGATTGTCGCTTATGGTGGCTGGAGACATGGTGGTGGGCTATGGGCTCTCAAATTTCAGCAGTGCCCTGTGCTGTGCTAAAATTTGGTGCACCCCCTCCCTCTCGTGCTCCATTCTACAGCATAGTTTTGGTGCCCACTGCAGGGCAGTGTCAAGTGTGGCTGCACCACCCTAAAACCACCTCGGCTGGAGCATCAAACATCTGGAGGGCCACAGGTATCCATAGCTTAATTCCACAGAAGTGCCTGAAATATCAACATAGTTCTCAACTCTATAACAAATCAAGCTTTAGGTTTCTAGTGGTTCTTCTGAACTCGTTTTATCACTGTGACTTTAAATTTGTAATGTTTGCAATTTTCAAAGAACTTTTATGGTGGCACAACTATCATTCAGTGCTGAAAAGAAGAGTAAAATTAGATCCTAAGAGAGAATTCATGGATTCATTTTCGGCTGAACATGCCCACACCCATAACTCAGTGCAAGCTGTCAGTGAGTAATGGGGAAATTTTGACCCATGGGAATGAAAATCCCACTAAAATGTTACATCCAGGCCATTTCACTGAAAATAGGCTTACGTTATTGCACTCGTCTCTAAATCATTCCTGATAGATGACTGCCGAGCCCAGCCTTGAAGGAAATTTCCAGGAATGGCAGCTTGGATATTTGCTCAAGCAGGTAGCAACTGAAGGAACAAATGCTGCAAATCATGTTATTTAAAATTAAAACATTCTATAATAGCATGGCTTTGTGGAAGACTTTAAAATAATTCTTATCTCTGTTAAAAACAAAACAGGGGCAGTAAACCATGTGTGTCAAATAGAAAGATGGATAAGTGCAGAAAGAGAAGGGGCCTTTCAGGAACACTAACTTTTAATTAATGCGCCCTGTTTTCCATAACATTTCCCACTCATGTATTTCCATCATTCAGTCTGATACTCCCAATTATGACTGCATGTAACTGCATGCAAACAGGCATAGCCTCACTCATATGCTCATGATCACAAGGATAAATTTAAGTGTGAACCAGGCAAAACACAAGCATCTCATTTGCCACTGATGTATACTCTTCAAGGAACAGTAGACAATCCAAGTTGTATGTTGAGTATACCTGTATGAAGCATACCTTAATAGATGGCTACAATTCATACTTTACATTCTTACTTGAAAGATCCCCTTTAAAAATGCAGTATATTAAGTGGCCCACAGATACAATGCACAGTAATTTTAACAGCACTTTCCCCCTAAGCATTGCAATGCAAAGCCTTACCACCATGGATTTTGGAATCCTTTTACCACTGGTACACACCTACATTTTCCCCAATGAGATACATCTGGAATTTTGTGTAGTCTGCTTCCATGTAAGTAAGAGAAAGAGATAAGCTATTTTGAGCTCTTTTAAGGATTTACAGTGCACTCGTGTTTACTCAGAAGTAAATTCTACTGTAGTCAATGGGGCCAACTTCCCAATAATCTGGGAGTACGACACATTAGATTCAATGAGACTCTATTCTGAGTATAGACCTGTATGGGATTGTGCTGTAAGAAAGTGCTGTAGGATTCCAGTCTAATTCAATTAAGGTAAAACCAAATTCCTAATAATATTCCTTAATATTTAAAGTGTTACACATGGAAATGCCTGCAGAATAAGTGTTGTGACTGAGGACTTACAAGTAGAACTGCTGGTTTTCTAAATGGTAAATCATAGTACCTATTATTTATTTCAGGCGGAACTTCTACCGCACTGGCCAAGATCTCAACAACTGCAGCACTTGCCAGAACACGGCATGTATCATTTACAGGTAGGTGAAGGTAAAGGATGCCTGGACAGTTAAATCCAGTCAAAGGCGACAATGGGGTGCAGCGCTCATCTTGCTTTTCAGGCTGAGGGAGCCGGCATTTGTTTAAAGACAGCTTTCTGGGTCATTTGGGAATATGTTTCTGATTCTAAGAGATGCAGAACACGTTGTGTAAAAATTAGCATGTGTTTGTAAAGTACAACTGGTATAGCCAAATATTTATTTCACCTATACGTCTAGGCAGCGGCATAGCTAGCCGTCGGGTGCCTGGTGTGGGGGTGTGCCCATGGGGGTGGGGCCAACCTCTCCAGCGCTTGGAGCTTCTGCACTGCCTCCCCCTCAGCTGTAGGGGGGCTGAGGGAGAGACAGTAGGCAGACTAAGTCCCACGCTGCCGTTTCAGGCAGCGCAAAATCTGCAGGCACCTAAGCCACCACGTCACTCCTAAAAAGTTTCGTGAGCCCATTTTTTTAAAAAAAACAACCTCATTTGTCACCCTCCCCAGTAATGGCACCCGAGACGGACAGCACCCCCTGCACCCCCCCTTCCTCCACCACTGTGTCTAGGTCTGTTCAGAAATTTCACTGAACACAGGCACAGGCTGTACAAGCCTGTGTGAAAGAGTGTTCCTTGTTGATTTCTACCGCTCTTTTACTGTGTACACAGTCTGTATAGTTGTTGAATATTATATGTGAATAAATCTTTGAGTGTCCAGCACAACTAATGTACATGTGGGTATAGATTGTACATTTGTTGAACGTAACATGTGAACACGTTACAGATACAATCCTTCAGCTTTGCAAGTGTTCCACTGGCCTCTTCTTAAGACTCAGATAATGATTTAATATTCCATTCAGCAGATGAAGACAGGATGCTACTATTTTGTTGTCCTCAGTGTCAGGATATGCACATGTGAAGGCTGCATGCCCAGAAGATTTCCAAAGAGAATTAGCTAGTTTTCGAGCCTTCTCTCTAACATGGGTTTGTCATGTGAAGTCAATTAATCTATAAATGTAGGACTTTGCTACCTCAATTAAACATGACTGAGGCCCACTTGTACATTGTGCCCTCATGTCAGTTCTTTGAGAAATCAAATGAGAAATGGCTGAAATATGTAATGTATTGTTAAAACAAGTTTCCATGCCAGAAGACTGGAAGCTGGCCAACATAATGCCAATATTAAACAAAGCATCCAGGGGAGATCCAGGAAACTGCTTTATAATGCTTGTCTTGGTTAAATTAGTGGAAAGCCTTCCTGAGGCTAGAATAATTCAACATGATGAGGTTTTAAAGCCTAGCGGTGGGAACTGCTGTATTTTTTTATTGTAAAGCTTACCACTATAGAAATAATAAATGGCATGAGGAGATCTACATGGCTTCAGAAAACAGAAGCCTTGCTTCCCCTTAATTGCAGTTGTCAACGCAAGCATTTAAACAGATGTTATCTACTAGGTGCTATATATTTGGATTTTATTTTATTTTATTTTATAAAAAAAACTTGCACAAAGAAATTTAGCAACCATGGGATAAAAGGACATCCTCTCCTAGATCATTACAGGTTAAAACTTAAAAGAGAGGAAGCAAATATGCAAATACAGTGACAGTTTTCTGGCTTGACACAGTTGGAAGGAGTGCTGGACTATGCAGAATTTTGGTGTTATCTAGCAAAAGTGCAGCTACACTATTGGTTTAATTTTATGTTTTCTGCTTTGCTTTGGTAATTATCCCCTGCTTCATTTTCAATATCTCCATATTCTAATTTGCATACATCTGTTTTGAATTTTATGAATAAAAAATAAATTAGGAAAGCATGCTTGTAAAGTCCCATACAACACTGGCACCCAGCAGAGACAGGCAAGTGCACAGACGGCTCACCAAGTAAGATTCCAGTCACCAATATCCTCTTCTTTAAAAAAATTTACAATTTTACTAGAACAATTTTACAACAGCTTATTTCTAAACCAGCTTTCCTGATATACACGTTTATGCATGAAAAGCAAGAGCCATCACTTAAACTGCAGAACTGAGTCACTCATTCACCTCAGTGTATCTGACGATGGAACTGCTTTGAGGTTTTTCCTACAATATATATAAATTTTATGAAATTCAAACATAAACTTTCCCTTTAGCAAAACGACTGATGTTATAGCTCCACAAAGCAGTTCTTGTGGTTGACCTACACTAAGGTGAAATACATCAATGCAGAACAAAAACTGTTGTGATGCCAGCATGGTGGTTGTGCTGCAAAGTGAATCAGAAGCCAAGGTAGAGGCCCCTTGTAATCTAAGTTTCTCCAGAAGCCTCTAACCCCTGCTTATGGAAAAATCTACTTTATTGTAGTTTTTACATAGTTAAATTTATCTCAATCATCTGATACTTAAATTACTTGCAGAAACAAGCTACCTGAACAAATAAATCACTGAAATCCAAAGAAGACCAAATATATAAGCTTATCAATTTTTGGGAGAAAATGTTCTGCATTAGGAAACAGGGCAGATCAATAATCTTGCATGTTCACATTCATTCTGAAGCCTCACATTATTTAATATACACAATAAAGTCAACTGCTTGTCTGCCGGTTTATGGAAGAAGCGTAAGCACCAAAGTACTTTTGTGACATCTACCATGAAAGCTTTAGTTCCTATCTCTTAATATAATATAAAGACAAACTAAAGACAAACTTAGAACAACTCATCCAGTTTATTAGTTTAGACATTCAGTGAATGTCAGCTTCAAAATTATAGGACCAGGTATCCTATAACCAAAGGAACTGTGTTGATTCTCTGAACTTTACCACATACAGGGCATCAAAATCATGGCAGATATATGCACCTGTTGAGAGGCAATATGCTTCTAAATACCAGTACAAACTGCTGGAGAGAACTATTTTCTTCATGTCCTGCTTGTGGGCTTCCCAAAGGTATCTAGGACATAGAATCATAAGGTTGGAAGGGACCATGAGGACCATCTGCTTGGCCACTCTAAAAAACAGTGGTCTAGTTAAATGCTTCTTTCTCATTCTGTATTCTTGCAGGATTCTTTCTGTATTCTTTCTAGGCAACAAGCGCCACCAACTACAACTACAACTACAGCTCTCTTGAGTTTTGTTGCTTGCTTCAGATTCTAGGAGTTAAGGCTTAAGGTCCATCTTTTTTGACCAGCTCATGTGACTGCCAACTATCTGCCCCATTGTGCAAATTCTGCCAAAATTCAATAACCTTGATAACCCACACTTTTTCTGTCCTAGCCTTCCTTTCCCTGCTGTGCAGCCACTCCTCATCTGGTTAAATCTCCCCTTGCCTAGAATTTCTATGATAGATAATGCCATATTTTTGTTGTTTTTATGTCCAACTTATGTATTTATTTCTAACTTGTGTATATGCCACTGTTAAAAATAAATGCCTGCAACATTCATGTAACAACATTCTATACGGAATTCACTATTGCAATGGGAAAGTGATTATTTCATAAGAGATGAAATATTGCTATCTGAGTACTTGGAAAAGGCACAGAATTGTGCCGCTCATTACTGTAAAACGAACTGGTCATATCCCTGCCATACATCATGTGAAGCATCTACTTCTATGTGCAGTACTGGGGAGATCTGCTCCCCTTTGTAACAAGGTGGGATGTCTGGCTACTAATTGAACTCATGGACCTTTTCAGTCCTACTCAACTCTACCTAACAGATCCATTTACTCCTTTCAACTGGGTTTTATTTTATTTTAAATTTAAGCTGCATATTGTGCAGTGAGCCCAACATTTTCTTGGTTAATTTTATCTTCTAGTACCATACAAAAATATTCTAGGGCATAAACCAACTTTAATCAAAGTAGTTCCTTCACATCTGAGACTCCCTGTGATTTTAATTATCTTCCCCACCTACCCATCCTGTTTATACTTAGAATTGCTGCTTCTTTTCATTAGGCTACAGGTCACCAAGACAGCTTGAGACCATTTAGGTCACTTTTAAATTATACATTGCCATTGAGGGAGGTTTACATGCTACCAAATAACTGTTATCACAGTTTCATGTAACTAACCTTAACAGATGAAACTGCTAGCCTCAGTCTACAAACAGTAAGCAAAACATGGATCATTGCTTCTTATATGCTTTGGAAGCAAACATTCCAAAATCAGGGTCAAGCTGGGAAGCGCTTAAAGGCAATGGTCCATAGTGGATGCTGACTAACTAAATGTGTGCCTTTACCCTTAATCAATTTGCTTATTAAGTATACAATGAATACACATATCTAACAGGAAAACTGAATAAGTACACTGCAAGTTTGATTAGTCACCTACAGTTAAGCCAAACTAGCTAAAGGAAATTATATACTGAGATTATTTGTTTATGGAAGGTGATGAACATGCTGTGAGGTTCCTTCTCCAACCTTATACTAGGTAGGCACAAAAAAACCCATCCAGTACAAACAACAAAACTAGCTAGAGATGTAATATAGAATCCTTACATTTCGAGAGGAATCGGGGCATTTGTTCAAATCAGGTACTGAACTACAAAGAGAAGGCTTCCTGCTTCAGACCTTCACTGTCTGTGACTTGGAGGTTGATAGTGACAGCCATGGAGTGGGGTGTGGGAAGCTTAACATGCTCATCCCCTGCTCTTCCCACTCTCATGGATGTTTTACAGGCAAAACACCTGACTGGGGTGTCAGTGATCATTCCAAGTTCAATCCCAGGTAATTCCATTTAAATAAGTTCTCAGGTAGCAAGGCTGGAACAGATGCCCTGTCTGAGATTCTGAAAGGCTACTGCAAGTCTAAGTAGACAGCACTGAACTAGGTGGGGCCAATGATCATAGGTCTTCTTAAAGGAATTAAACAAATAATTTTTTTAAGAGCTGTGCTTCAATACATATATTGTAGACTGCAGTGCTATGCACTCTTCACTGAGAGTAAGCAAAACAGAATGAGAATTAGTCTTGAGTAAACATGCACAGGAATGCACTGCAGGTTTAAAAAAAAACAAGAAGCAAAACATTACAAAA